TCCATCTTTGTAATGTAGGCTAAAATCTGCTTCAAAATCCCAGCACTGTCGTCATCGTGTAAAGCCCGCCCCAACGTTTCTGATTGGTGCCGCGATTTCGATGGATTGGAAATGGGCTTGAATGAGCTCTTTGCCAGACTAACTTTCAAAGCAAATCTAAATTTGCCGGAAGTTGTCTGGGTTTTCCCAGGCTAAATCTGTCTATAAAGCCTATAAAAAAACAGTCTTCATGAATTGTACTAAACTTCAGCTTGTGATTCCTATTAAGTGGGGGTAATTTTTTTAAGATTCTTTACCTAACCTAAGTCTCTGAGATCCTGACACCTTGCTCTTCTGGAGACTCCAGGTAGGTTGCAGTTCTGGAAAATGGTGGTGTTGGAGACTAAAGGGTTCCTAAAGGTTTCACACTTAATTCTTCATTATTTAGCAGTTCACATTTTCTTCCCCACCTGTTTTTGTTTGACTGACTGCTGACCCAATGAGCATTTCACTGTTCAATAGGCTTTATGCCCAGCTGCACTACTTCCTGAACTTCAGCCAGCTCCTTGTTTCCTGTCTGACATTATTGGACAAACTGATTAATCCAGGTGTGCCTGACCAGTAACAAATACCAGACACACCTGGGTTAATCAGTTTGTCCAATAATGTCAGACAGGAAACAAGGAGCTGGCTGAAGTTCAGGAAGTAGTGCAGCTGAGCATAAAGCCTATTGTCATGCTTTAACTGCAATTGCTAGAATTGCATTGGTATTGCATCCTTCTCATGGGCATTTAATTATTATTATTTTTTACTTTTCAGTCCGAGTTAAATATCTTTTTGGGCTTATTTAATCTGTAAAAGAAAACATGCCTAATAAGTATGCACACCTGAATATAACCTCAGTCATTTTGTTTGTTAGACTCTTAATTTGCTAATTTTCAGTAACATGCTTTTTTGTTGTTGTTGTTGTTATGCCCAATTCTCATCGATCCTTAAAAAAGTTAATTTATGAAATTCGTTCAAAAAGCAATACATCCAGTAATGGAACAAGTGAGTGAATGATTGAATCATTCATTCAAAACGATGAGAAAAAAAATCTTAATATATTTAGTCTATTAATAAAAGACTGCATTGCAACAATTGGCCTTTTTTCAGAGCCTCTAGTAAATTACATGTTATTTGGTTTAATTGTATATTCAGGATAGTGGTTTCTATTTTAAACAAAACATCATGATTCTCAATGTATCCAGAATACAGCTCTACAGAAAAGGTGCCATTACTTTGACAATACAAATGTACAAATATTTGTCACACCAATAAAGAACCTGCAAACAAACTCACTGGATGAATGGATATGCTTTGCTCACTGTGACACTTGGACAACGCTTCTTTATATGATTCACTGCTGAGCTTGAATGTCTAAAACTCTCTCCACATTAGTGCAGCTTCTCTCCAGTATGAACTCGCTCGTGTGATTCCAGTGCAGACAAACCTTATTCACGATATGAGGGCTTGCACTCTGGAGCTGGTTAATGTTAAACTCTGTAATCTGGGAACATCTCTCACCTGCAGACTAGAAATATACTGCATCCGGAGAAAATATTCCACATTTGTCCTTCATTCACGATCGTTAACAGCGTCACTTTCAGCCTCAACTGGTGAAAGTTTCAGCTCGTCTCTTCTCGTCTCTTCTCGTCTCTCTCGCCTCTCTCTTCTGCGCAGGCGCAGTGCGCGATGTCGTCATGTTTCTTAAAGGGGCCGCATTTTATAGCATTGTATTCAAAGGGTTAGTTCAGTGGTTTTCAAACTTTTTCAAGAGGGGCCCTTTTTTTTTTCTTTTTTTTTTACGCGACCCATAGGCTTGTGCGCAGAATTTTTTTTCTTTAACCTTTCTTTAAGCACTTTTTTTAACCACTTTACTTTTGATGATGCACGTGCACTTGCTGATCCTTGACGCGATTGCAACGCAAAGTCGATTCTGAAATAATTTGATCAAGCTATAGGCCTACATACAGGACTTTTAACCAATAAATAGCTTATCATTTGCTGAATGCTTAAAAAGTACAAATACACAAAACATATTCCACAACAGACTCTTTAAATGTAATATTAATTATATACAGAACAGAACAAGAATAAAAAAATAATAACTAAACAAGCCAAAACGAAATAATTTAAAGGGAAAGTAAAAGGGGCATTATGCTCACGTAGCCTAACTCTCTCATTAGAATCAAAATATTTTAACATTCGCGATGTATTTGATGGTAAACTATTCTTTATTATAGGCGTTGTAGCAACTTCACTCACGCTGCAATATCGACAGGGAAAAAAATCATCCTTTTCACATGCGCAAAAATGTGCTTGGAAACATCACGGTTGAGCGGTGCTTACGCTGAATGGTACGAATTGACTATTTAAACAGAGCAGTGTGATTTTTATATTAGGTTGACTATTTTATTGTCATATTTTTATTTCGGCTATAATGAACAGGCTGCGATGTCAAGCCTGGAATGGTGTATTTGTGTGTGTGTGTGTGTGTGTGAGGCGCGGCACTGGAAACAAAAAATATACTCCGTCGTTCATACAGGACATCATTCAAACTGCAAAGTGTTTATTTATACTTGTGTACACTCGACACAACATTGTTAAAACACAACATTGTGGTTTTGTCAAACTGTAAACTCTTGTCAAACTTAACTGTCACCCAACCAAAATCACACAAAATTTAAAAGCAAACTTATTTATAATTCAAATGAGAATAGGGCTGTCAACGAATATTCCAAATTCGAATAGGCCTATATATTCGAATAGTTTTAAAAAACAGAATTTCGAATGTGAAAATTAATATTTGAATGTGGAAAAACACGCCCGCGGTATCAGAGGCGCGGCTGTCAGCTTTGCGCGCTGCCTGAGGGATCAGGGACAGGTCACAAGAGTCGCACTGGCACAGCTGAAAGTTTTTTATTTCTTATTCTTATTTATTGCATGAATAAGGTAGGTTAGATACAGCAGTTCCATGCATCGCAGGCTTCACTGGTTTGATTATTTACCGTTTCATGTCAAGGAAAAGTTCCATGTTTACCACAGCACAGCTCGCTCGGGGCGTTCAATGTCGGTTCTTTAAAACTTCAATTAATGTTAATAATATTTGTTTCAATCACTGAATGAAGCCTGCTATATTTGGGACAAGAGTCACGACCTTAAATTGCTTGCACAAAACTCTTGATCAGCACTCAACATTTGTTTATCGTTGTTGTTGTTCAAACCGTTATGCGCAGAGAGCGTGAGGTGAGGGAGAGAGAGAGAGAAAGAGTGCCTAGCGAGAGTGAGGTCTGCGGTCTTGGCCATTAGTTGATTTAGGCTACTTGTTTTTGTGTAGGTAATACGTTGTCAAATATGTTTAAACTTAAATAAACTACCTAAACAAGTAGTTATGTCTCTTTGTATTAATTTGACCTGTTATTGACGTAATGCGCGTCATTGACAAAATGCACAACCAGATGTTCGAATAGTTCGAATATAGCATAGCATATGTGTTTTTTTAGAGGGATTTTTTAGAACGTAATTTTTGAGTAGCCTAATTTTGACAGCCCTAGGAAGGAACGACGAGTGTTAGTGTGTTGTTGCCGATGGAGCGAACGTGTGTGTGTTGCGGGTGGAGCGAACGAGTGCGTGTTTTGTGTATATTAATGAGAAGGGCCTGCTTATTCTGCATAATCTGGTCCCAAGCCGGTTCGCAGGACGAGAGGGCAACACGCATGTCAGGAGAAGCATTCAGTTTGTTTCGTTGTTTCAAAGCTATTATTATTAATATTAATTTAATTAGAAAACGGATTTTTTTTTTTTTTTTTTTTTAAATCACTGGCGACCCATTTTTTTATTCTCGCGACCCACCCGAGGGTCGCGACCCAGGGTTTGAAAACCACTGGTTAGTTCATTTAGTAAGTCAATATTCAGGGAAAGTACGGCAATCGATTTGCCTGTTTTTTTTTTATTTTTTTTTTTATAAATAACACTTCTAACACTTTACTATAATTTCTATTGCTGCTACTAGTCAATCATTATCAACAAAATCTATCTTTTTTGTTGACATCTTTATTTGTCTAAAATTTAAAGTTACCCATTAATAACTTGGTCACGGAACTTTGCGTAATGTCACATTTTCAATTAAGCTGATATTCTGGAAAACAGCACTCTTGGTTTTATGTTGCTTGAGTTGTTCCTCATATGAATATAAAAACAGGAACATTACGTATTTGTTACCCCTATATCTTGAATTTTGGGGGCATTTTTGTTATTTTTAGGTAACAAGCATAATGAGTATAGAAATGATCAATCTCAATAAAGAAATGTGACAAAAACATACAGTAAATGTTCACTCTTTTGAACTAAAAGCCTGAAAGAGAGTTTTTTTGTGCAGTCTTGTGAGCACAAACTATCAGGAGAAAATGTGATTGAATTTGATATGGTCTGTACAGTAGAAATGCGGTTAATGTTTTCTGACTGACATTTAAATGAACAAATCAAACGAGTGCAAACAGGTAAAAGTGAAGCCACTACCGGACAGAGTCAGACCAATGGAGTATCGGGTGTGTTCAAAACACACGATTTCTCTCATGGTCTGTATTTTCTGGTGCTGTTTAGAGGCCAGCAGTGAAAAACTATTTCCATAAACACATATTAGACTTGTTTTCAATTTAAACAATCACAGTTAAACACTTTTTGTCAAGACAAGATGTTTTTTCAGTTTATTTCTCAAAAGTGCATGTACTAACAGAAGACAATATAGTAAACTTAGTAAATAAGTATGACATGAATATATCTAATTCAAGATAGATTTGGCAAAAAAAAAAAAAAAAGATTTACACTTTTGAAGCTTCAACTCTTAAATCTTTCTAGTCTTCCATTCATTTTAACAAATAAAAAAAATAGACAATCTCCATATTTTATCTTGCAGAATTTACCTGAATAAAAAAATGGATTTCAAATGAATATTTGAAATGAAACCGAATGTTGATCACATGCAACAGTTTTTCATATGAGCATGAAGGCTTGATAAATGTTTAAAACTCTTTCCACACTGAGTACAGTCGTACGGCTTCTCTCCAGTATGAACTCGCTCATGTGATTTCAGGTTTCCAGACTGAGTGAAACTCTGGTCACAATATGAGCACTTGTAAGGTCTATCTCCAGTATGAATTCTTTGGTGCTGTTTCAGATGACTAGATGTAGTAAAGCTCTTCCCACAGTCACAACACACATGATCTCTCACTTCATCATGAGTTTTCTGGTGCCGTTTACAACTGATCAGTCGTGAAAAACTCTTTCCACAGAGAGAACACACATGAGGCCTCTCATCTGAATGAACTTTCAGGTGTTGTTTTAAATGTGATGACAAAATAAACTCTTTACCACACTGATCACAGTTAAATGGTTTTTCTCCAGAGTGAATACGCAGATGAATTTTGAGTAAGGATGAAGATGTGAAACACTTTCCACACTGAGTGCATGGATACGGTTTCTCTCCAGTGTGAATTCTTATGTGTCTGTTAAGGTCTCCTTTTTGTCTGAAACTCTTTCCACACTGTGAGCAGGAGTGCAGCTTTTTGGCTTTTGTTCCATGAGTTTTGAAGTCACAGTGATGCTTTACTTCATTCAGTTCTTCTCTTAGCTCTGTTATTCCCATCTGATCTAAAATAAACATTAAGTAGTTATAATCAGTTTAAAGAGGATAATTTCAAGGAAAATTCAAGTTAACATAAGCAGACAACAAGAGAATAGGTTTCTGTCTGTGTGAGAATAAAGTATCATATCTTTGACATTAAAGGTTTGTTATATAATTACCGTATCATTAATTTGAATACTTAAAATGTATTTGACACATTGATACAAGGTTAGGATCAATTTGTTGAATTTCTACATAATTTATCATCAATAAACTACTTGTTATTTCACAGCCAACAAAGCGTCAACAATGAAGAATCAAGAATGGACACCAACCTGTTTGTTCCTCAGTATCTTCATGTTTTATTCTGGATGGTTCTGGATCACTCATGTCTTCAATCTCCACTTTAATAAACTCCATCTTTAAAAGTCACACAGATTGCAGCTGCTACTCCTGGAGTTTGTCCTTCTCTTGTAGGATGATGGGAATATTCCCAGTATTTATTGGTGAATTGTTGTGGGAGGGGCTTCACTGCAGGTGTGAACTGTGATCACTGTGTGACTGACGCCCACAGGACCAGATCTGTCAAAAAACAAAAGATTTTAAAAAGAATTTATACTGGATTACTTTAACAGAAAACACATATGGTCCCTTTCCCCACCCATTCTATTGCGAGACGAGCTGCTTATATAGGCACATGCCCCGCCCCCTTTGGCAGGCTCTGCCCTGATTGGTTTGAGCAGATATGCAGCATCACCATTGGTTAGTGCAATTCTCAACACTGCGTTAATTTAATAAAAGGCTTAAATAATCGGAGAAAAAGGAGTTTTCCCTATAGCGTCTAACAAATGGTAAAAATGGACTGCATTTATATAGTGCTTTCACAGACCCAATGGCCACCAAAGCGCTTTACAGTTTGCCTCACATTCACCCATTCACTCACTCATTCATACACCGATGGCGGTGTCAGCCATGCAAGGCATTGCCATCCAGCTTGTCGGGAGCAGCTGGGGTTAGGTGTCTTGCTCATGGACACCTCAACACTTGGCCAGGTGGAACCGGGGATTGAACCACCAACCTTCTGGTTTGTAGACAACCTACATGAACCACTGAGCCACTGCCGGCCAACAAGATAAAATACTTGTTCCTATTATCTCAAGGAACCAGGGTTACATTAGTAACCAAGATGTTATATTATTAAAATAATATCTAAACTAATCAGAAATCTAACAAGATGACAGAAATACTTAAAATGTACTATCTATAAAGACCCATTCAAATTCGTAAAGAAGTTATTCACCAGTGAGAAGAATGGCACTTTAAAAGCATCTAGGGTTGAGCTAGAGAGATATTTGGAGGAAACGCATACAGATGCAAAAAGGCATGAGCCTATGTCAATTCCATCAGACATACCACCTATCAACCCACCAGAATACCAAATGGAGGTATGTGCATCTAAGTGGAAAGAGGTAGAGCAGGCTGTGAGAAAGGCAAGGGCTTCATCATCTCCAGGGCCTAATGGAGTTCCGTACAGAGTGTACAAGAGTGCTTCAGGAGTTCTGTGAATTCTGTGGAAATTGATAAAAGTGGCATGGGAAAAACAGGTTGTACCTAGAGCATGGCACAGAGCAGGTGGGGTCTTTATACCTAAAGAAAAAGATGCTACAAGCATCAGTCAGTTTTGTCCGATTTCACTATTAAACGTTGAAGGTAAGATTTTCTTCAGCATTATTGCCCAGAGATTGTCCACCTACCTATTAAAGAATGGCTTCATTGACACTTCAGTTCAAAAAGCGGGCATTCCAGGGTTCTCGGGATGCTAAGAACACATCAATGTTATCTGGCAACGAATTCAGTCAGCTAAAAAGGAGAGGAAGGAGCTCCATGTGACATTCCTGGATTTGGCTAATGCATATGGTTCAGTGCCACATGAGCTTCTTTGGGCAGCATTTGATTTTTTCAGAGTACCAATGTCAATAACAAATTTAGTGAAAGCCTATTTTGGAGATTTGCAATTTAGTTTCTCAACTCCAAAATTCAGCACTGCATGGCAATGCTTAGAGGTTGGAATTATGGCAGGATGCACCATTTCTCCACTGGCTTTTACCATGGCAATGGAAGTAATCATTAGGGCATCAAGATGGGTAGTAGGAGGAGAGCGCTTGGCTTCTGGGATGCGACTACCACCAATCAGAGCATACATGGATGACATGACAACCATGACTACAACAGTAGCCTGCACTAATCGGTTATTGGGGAAGTTAACAGATAATATTGAATGGGCACGAATGCAGTTTAAGCCCTCTAAATCAAGGAGCATCTCGATAGTTAAAGGACAGGTAGTAGATAAAACATTCTTCATTAATGGTGAGGCAATACCAACAGTTGCTGAGAAGCCAGTGAAGAGTCTTGGGAGATGGTACGATGGGGATCTAAAGGACACAGTTTGAGTGGGAGAAGTTAGACGACAAGCAGTGGAAGGGTTGAAGAGCATAAACAGCTGTGCTCTACCAGGCAAACTAAAACTCTGGTGCTTTCAGTTTGGTCTACTGCCGAGGTTGCTGGGGCCACTGACTGTGTACGAGGTTTCTTTGACAACAGTGGATAAGCTGGAAGCGTTAATAAGTTCATACATTAGGAAATGGTTGGGAGTTCCACGCTGCCTCAGCAGAGTGGGACTTTATAGTAAAGGAATATTGCTTTGTAATTATTGTAATTATTGTAATTGTCTCTGCTTTAACCGAGGAGTTTAAGTAGAGTCACGCGACAAATGTGTAAGGGAGGCAGCCCCTGTGTTAAAAACTGGTAGAAAGTGGTCAGCAAAGAAAGCTGTAGTAGAGGCAAAGGCTGACCTTCAAATTGGGGATATCGTGGGACAGGTACAGCATGGAAGAGGGGGTTTTGGGCTCAGTTTAGCTCCTCCTAAATGGCACAAGGCAGGCCCAGCTCAAAGGAGGAAGCTGGTAGTCAACGAGGTGCGAAAGCAGGAGGAGAGGATGAGGTGTATAAAGGCCATTTCCCAGGCCAAGCAGGGAGAGTGGATGAGATGGGAGAGTGTGGAACAACGCAAGATGGGCTGGCAAGAACTTTGGTCAATGGAAGAGAGTAGGATCAGTTTCCTTATTAGGTCAACATATGATGTTCTCCCATCACCGCAGAACCTAAACCTCTGGGTAGGAGAGGATCCCTCTTGTCCTTTGTGTTCATCACCTGCCACATTAAGGCACATTTTGACAGGATGTAAGGTGGCTCTTAGCCAAGGTCGGTTTACTTGGCGCCATGACCAAGTACTGCGATGTTTGGCTTTAGCATTGGAAGGCAAGCGTAGTATGACCAATAAGTTGCCGCCTGTTCTAGCAAAACATTACACGCAGAAGACAATATTCTTCCGCCCAGGCGAGCAACCACCAAGAAAAGGTGTTAACACCAATTCTCGCCCAGGACAACTGGAAGCTGCTAGGGACTGGAAGATGCTGGCTGATCTTGATCAGCGGCTTATTTTTCCACCTGAGATTGCCACCACTAACCTACGACCAGATATTGTTTTGTGGTCTGGATCAGCACGCATTGTTCAACTGATAGAGTTAACAGTGTCATGGGAGGATGCGGTAGATGAGGCATATGAGAGGAAGAAACTGCGGTATGCTCATCTGGCCACTGAAGCAGAACAGCGAGGATGGAGAGTCCAGGTTTATCTAGTGGAAGTGGGTTGTCGAGGTTTTGTGGCACACTCTACAACCCGGTTCCTTAGAGACGTCGGATTCAGTGGCCAAGAGTTGCGTCGCACAGTAAAGAACTTATCTGAAGCAGCAGAAAGGAGCAGCAACTGGCTGTGGTTGAGACGGAAAGATTCTAGCTGCCTGTGTACAGGCCGCCACGCTACGGTTTCGTAGAATTCTTGAAAAACTTGAGTCTGTTGGTTTATTTGTATAGGTTGTATAGTATTTACAGTCATTACATTCGGTGGTAGGTGGTATGCCATACGGAACCGTTGCCACTGAAACTGCATATTAACGCACCAGTGGGGCTCGACAGCCTTAGTCAAACGGGTTGGCGCGTATGGTTGGGTTGCGGAGAGATTGTGAGATTGTGGTCTCAGCAGCAGGAGGGATGTAGAGGTCAGTAAGCTGGGCTGAGTTGAGTGGGGGACGGAGGGGGCTGACTCTGGGACGCCACGGTCACTGTCGAGCCCTCTTGAGGTGTCGTGGGCTAGTCGACGAAACACTGAGGACGGAAGGTGCCCACTTGAAGACCCTAGAGATGTCCCCTACTCGGCTCAATCCAGACGGTTGTCGTGCTGGTCCACTGTAGTTGCAGTCGTCGCGTGTGCTGACGCGACAAGTACACTGCAGCCGTTAACGCCGGACAGAAGGGGAGTCACACCATCATATGGAAAGAAGTGTAAATGGATGGAGAAGCATAGTTTACTGTAAAACTACGTCTTAGTGTTGCTTATCTTGGCGAAAGCCGAGTACAAATCAGCATGAAGTTTTAACATCTACTCTCGTGTAATGGAAATCTAGCTGTTAATAAACAAAACTGCATGAATCTTGCAGAAGAACATTGTAGCCGGAGCTACTTCTCTCAGTTTATGTCTATGACGATTCATGCAGGTACTGGTCTACTCCGCAGGAGTACAGTGCGTGCAGACTTATTAGGCACGTTGATTTTCTGATCTTTTTTTTTTTTTTAAGGCACATTTTTCTCCCACAGGTCATCAAGTGGATCAGGGAGGATAGATGCCCCATTCTTCTTATGGTCCCTCTCTGGAGGACCCAACCTTGGTTTCCAGAGTTGATTCAGTTGCTAGCAGCAGCCCCATGACCAATTCCCCTGAGGAAAGACATCCTTTCCCAGGCAAACAGGAAAATCTGGCATCCCCAACCCGAGCTGTGGGCCCTCTACTTATGTCCCCTCAATGGGAACTTACAGACCTCCCAAAGAGTCCTGAATACTATGTCTGAAGCTAGAGCCTCGTCCATGAGACGCCTCATAGTCTTAAGTGGTCTGTTTTCTCAGACTGGAACCAAGACCGTATTTCAAGGTGAAGTACCACTGGTGCTTTCCTTCCTACAGGCGCTAATGGACGCGGGTCGCACACCCTCCACGCTCCAAGTCTATGTGGTGGCCATAGCAGCATACCAAGCTCCTGTGGTGGGCCAATCACTGGGTAGAAGCAACCTGGTTGTTCGCTTCTTGAAAAGGGCAAGGAGGCTCAACCCACCTCGTCCTTTTAACCTACCCTCTTGGGACCAATCGACAGTCCTTAGAGCCCTCAATGGGTCGCACTCCTGTTAGCATCGGTCAAGCGAGTGGGCGATTTACAAGGTTGTCCTCAGGGTATGGCTACGCGCCCAAAGTGCTCTCTACTCTGCTCAGAGTGCAAGTTATCTAAGATTATAGTGGATTCGGAGTGTCCCCACACATTATTAATTGATGTGAATTAACCGAAAGTGTGTACAGTGGATAACTATAATGTATGGCGGAATACCATAGCAAGTGCTTGGGAGCACTTCGACTCAGCGCATATATATCTATGGACTCGGCGCAGTAATATCATCACTCCGGAGAGGATTTTTCAC